GTAAGGAATCATTCAATGTCTCCGAGTAAGGAATCATTCAATGTCTCCGGGTAAGGAATCATTCAATGTCTCCGAGTAAGGAATCATTCAATGTCTCCGAGTATCGCAGTTATCCCATCAGAAGTAAAAAGGAGTTTTGATATAATTTATGTTTTCTTTCACAGTTTGTTGCGGCCACAGAGGAGTTACAAAACTGGATTCAAGATAAGACTAGAACTGCTAAGGATCAGAGCTATAGGTATAATTAATTAATCTTTATATTCTTAAGTCAAAATCAAAGTCAAATACCTTAACTAATAGCAATGTTAAAGTTAAAATTGAAATTGAAGGTCATGTTGTTTTTGTACTAACGGAGGTCAAAATTAAAGTCTTTATCAAGAGTGGTCGCAGGTGCGACTGCCAGGCAAGAGGTCTCGGGTTCGATTCCCGACTCGGGTGAAGTATTACTAGGTTTTTTAAAGAATGTCATTAGTAGCATGGAATCTGGAATTGTGCTCGATATATGGCAATAGGCTCACCCCCTATTACATGGGACTCATAACATAAATAGTGAAAAGTGGGTGTTCGTGGTCGTAAGTGCGACTGCCGGGCAACCCCTTGCCACCACCACTTGGCCAACGAGGCAGTTTTCTCTTTGAAATATTTGAAATATTACTCCTTCAGTATTATAATCCCAATCTATCAACAGGGACCTAGCAAACTTGGAGCGGAAACTACAGAAGCACGAAGCATTTGAACGAGAGCTGCAAGCCAACGAGAAACAACTACGCAATGTTGAAAGTGTAAGTATCCTGCTTGTGTCCTGTTTGTCCTGTTTACATAGTTTTTTGATTGTGTGAGAACAATGCAATACCGTATCGACGAACCTAACGGGTAACCGGGGCTCCGGCTCGACGTGCAGGAGAAGGAACGGGGTGGGTTTTAGTCAGTAAGAGTCTGACACTCCCTCCCGCCACACCCAGGTGGGAGTAGAAATTCAATGATTTTCCCCCCTTAAAAAAAATATACCTAAATCCAGTCATAGTGATTGAAAAGTTGTTAAAATATGAGGATAGATTTAAAATGAATTTATTATTTTTTTTTTCAAATCTATCCTCATATTTTAATAATAACGGCTAAGATGAAAAATATGTCGGAGAAAATGCACCCATTGGGGGTACTTCGTCATCGGATTCTTCGTAAACGCGGTAAGTTCGGTACGGGCTGGCAGAACAACCGCTCACCCTCGTGTCCAACTCAAAAGTGACGCCTTTCAAATGCCAACATGCCACGCCCCGTACCGACCATCACCCAAGCACACTGCTTGACGTTTCCGACAAATGATAACAAATGGCGTTGTTCTAAAATAACGATACTCGATAGCTGTGCATCTTTGTTGATTCTGCGACAATTATAAAAGGGGCTTTAAATACTGTTTATGATAATGTAAACGCCCTTTGTTGAAAAACACAAATTTATTAAAATAAATGAAATTAACGAACAATTACAAAATTAACGTAAAAAATGAACTGCGCTTGGCCGTTGTTGCTTGCGCCGGCGAGTGTCTGCCGCTCGCATCCCCCCCCCCCTCCTCCCCGATCCCCGCGGTGACGTCGTCGCTGGGTTAACAAATACCACTAATATTGCTATGCAATGGCTTTTTGAGACTGGTAGTGCAGTTTTGACCACTGCTGTACAATTTAATTTAAAATAACAATAATAATGTAGTTTTTTTTATGGGATAAGCTAATAAACGATCAGACGGATGACCTGACGGTAAGCAATTGGCGGCGCCCATGGGCACCTGAAATACAGAGATGTTACAAGTGCGAACCCAGTCTTTTGAGAATTGGGAATTTGAAGATTGTGGAGGATTCGGGGATTAGGGAGACTGGGTAAGGGGGATAATTGGGCCTCCGGTAACCTCACTCACACGAACTAACACAACGCTGTGGTTGCTTCACTATGGTTTTTTGCTCGGTCGTAGTTTCACTCCGGTCGAGCCGGCCCAGCAGTGCTGAAGCATGGCTCGCTAGTATCTTTGGAGGTATCTTATATAGTTATCTTTTCTTCGCAGATCGGCCAATCACTTCAGAAATCAGACCCGTCCCGAGCGTCTGAAGTATCAGAGCACCTCTCCGGTCTCCAGACCGCGTGGGAGGAACTGGTGGCTGCTTCTAGGGACAAGGGAAGCAAGCTGAGACAGGCTGCTCAGCAGAGGAAACATAGAAGGTAGGTCATCATCAGTCTAAAGGTGTTCATTGCTTCAAGTTTGCCCCATTGTGTTTGCTAAGTAGATTTATGGTAATCCGTGGCAACACCGTGAGGAGTGTATTTGTTAAATCTATTATTTTACTCACCCGTGTTATATTTTATTTACTACTGTTTGTTGTCCTTGATAAATAAAATAAAATAAAATAATGCACCGAAAATTTACCTCCCGCAATGATTTCTAGTTCGACCGGATGTCAATTATCTAAGCCTATAAGTGTCCACTGCTGACCAAAAGCCTCTTCTCATACGGAGGTTTGAACATAATCACCACGCTTGCTCAATGCGGGTTGGCGATTTCAAACTTATAATTAGGAATTATAAGCCCAGGTTTCCTCACGATGTTTTCCTTCACCGTTTGTCAGTGGTGTCTAAATAATTAACTAAAAATTGCGAGTTACTCACTTGAAATACAGAGGAAAGCTCTACTAGTTTCGAACCACAGAGGGGCTCTTCCCTATGAGCAGCGTGTGCGATCTAAATAATCTTAGAAAGTACATATAACTTGGAAAAAATCACATTGGTACTTGCCGTTGGTAGGTTTCGAAGCCTCATGAGAAGTAGCCGTAAAGTAATACACAACCCTATATTATTGAGCAATTAAGTTCAAAATCCATAAAATCTATGCTATTTATAATTTCCGCAGTCTACCCCGCTAACAATGAATATACTTCCAGATCTGTAGAGGACGCGAAGGCTCGTCTCATTGACTTGGAGAGACAGCTCAAGAGCGAGGAGTTTGGCACCGACCTCAGGAGCTGTAAGCGATTGCTGAATCAACATCAGGTAAATATATGAAATTATCGACGTTTGACGAGGAACTCGACTAGTTTCAAGCCATGATAGAGGCTCATATTCATGAGCAGATATTAGAGTCGATTTATTTATAGCGATACTCTAATTTTGGTAATAGTTTTGTTTCTAAATAAGTTCGTATATGTACTACCTTTTAAGCATTAAAGTCGAAGCCTCTAGAATTGTGTACTTTCCTTAATCAAAAACAATTTATTTCGACTGTTCAATACAATGAAATATTAAAAAATAATCACACTTTTATTAATTTATTTTATGACCAACTTTATTTTAGTATTTTTCCGGCAAATTCTTAACAAATAAGTATACTGTTTGACGCTAAAAAAACGTGACGTCACAATACACAATCTCGTACGAAATTCATAGAATACTCTCGTTTGTGACAGTTCGAAAAAAGTATTGAATTTGACTAGTTGGCAAGTACACGATTATTTAAAATTGTGACCGATTTGTTACAAAACTAATGATTTTTTGTTACCTATAAACCTCGTTTATGACAAGTTCCATTCTCCTTAGGCCCTAGAACAAGAGCTATCCCTCTGGGAGAACAAGGCCGGGGCCCTAGCGGCTCAGGGCGCAGACCTAGTCTCCGGCGGACACTTCGACGCGGAGGCTATTGAGAGGGACTCCGCCGCATTACTCAAAGCTGTCAGAAGTCTACAACCTCCAGCTGCTACAAGACGACAAGCGTTGGAGAGTAGTTTGCAGTAAGTACTGTTTTTATGGGATAAGTCGGTAAACGAGCAGACGTATTACCTGATGGTAAGCAATCGGCGTCGCCCATGGACACTCGAACACCAGAGGCGTTACAAGTGCGTCACCGGCTTTTTGGGCATTGGTAATTTGAGGATCGTGGGCGATTCAGAGATTAGGAAGACTGGGGAAGGTTGGGTAATCGTGCCTCCTCTGCCCTCTCTCCCACGCCTGCCCACCCCGCTTGGGTAGTGTGACTATGGTGTACTATTCGGCCGTGGTTTCGCTCCGGTCGAGTCGACATATTCGTGCCGAAGCATGACTCAACACTTCTTAATTTTCATTGCTTATTTTAGACCACTACAATTTCATAACAGTCTGGAGTCGATCTGATGATGGAGTTGAAAGATAGTCGAAGGAACTCCTCGAGGCTGTATAGCAATGACCCCGTGTTTGGGCTTGATTTTTTTCTTTTGACGAAAACTTTCCACATAGATGAAGTATGATTGTTATTAAGGAGTTCGATGATGAAGTATAGCTATATAGTATGTATAATATAGCGAAAGGAACTCCTCAATAGTTAACAGTAGGTCCCTGTTGTTTGGGCTTGATTAATTTGTATTGATGAGGACTTGGCACCCTTTTTTTTAAGGGGGGAATATCATCGAATGACTGCTCCCACCTGGGTGGGGGGAGGGAGGGAGTGTCAGACTCTTATTGACTAACGCCACTTACCCATGTGGGATATATTTAGTATAGTGGGTCAAATAACGTGAATCTTTTCCATTTTATTGAATAACCAAATCTTTTACAGACTCCACAAATTCGCAGCAGAAGTAGCGGGTGAATTAGACTGGCTATCCGAACGAAGTGCTGCGGCATCTTCGGAAGTGATGCCGACAGACCTACACGCCGCGCAGTCCGCGCAGAAGAAGCACGCGAAGCTCAAAGCTGAGCTTCTAGGAAGAAGGCCATTGATTGAGAGGGTTATTGCGCATGGAAATAAATTGGTGGAGGAGGGACATCCGCAGAGGGAGAAGGTGAGAGGTTTTTGACGTGGAGGAGGTTATTTTTTGTGATTGAATGTTTGATCGATGTTTTGTTTAAAATTGTTAAATAGTTTGAAAGTGAATTAATTTTATAGTCTAGTACAACTGCCGAAAGAGGAGTTTCGGATTCAATTCCCGAGTCTGGCTTATTGCATAACCGAGTATTCTGAAATTTTCTCCATAATTTTATTCCTTCGTTAGTGTTGTGTCAATAAGATGTGACATCCGAAAGGGGTTTGATTCCCCTTTCGGACATGGGTTAGTCTGCCTTTATCGGTATTTAAAAAAAATCACATTAATAGGCATATGTGTGCGCAGTGTGGCAGGCATGCCACGTTGGTAAATTAGCGGTAAAAGTGACTACTGAGCAGGTAATCTTAGGTTTAATTCGCTGGTGACGAAAAATGATAATTTTTCAATTTCCGAAATAGTATTGACTTAGATACGATACCCAGCATAGCAATAGACTTATCCTCTATAACAGAACTCATTTGACTGTACGGTTGGCGCTCTCTTTGTGTGATTCACAAATTGTAGTTCCGTGTCAGTGTGTGATGTGTATGTGAACTTGTATGTTTGTAAACGGACACACGATACAGGACACAGTCCTAGTGTGGGGCAATGTTTTTTTAATAAAAAAAAACCATACGGTTCTCAAAATAAATAGCAAAGCATTTAAACATGTTAATTATGCATCTAATATGTACTAGTTTTAACCCCCCTCCCCCTTTACAGATTGAATCCCTCTGCGACCAGCTAGAAGCAGGTTACACCTCAGTGTCGGAAGCCGCAGAAAGTCGCGGCGCAAAACTCGAGGCCGCACTGAAGGCGCAGCAGTTCATGCACGACGCGCTGGAGGTGGACGCCTGGCTCGCGGACAAGGCGGCCGCGCTCGCGCACGCCGACCTGGCCAAGGATAGACACAGGGCTACGCATCTCTTGACCAGGCATAAGGTAATGCGGAATCTTTAGATAAATTTTTACAATTTTTTTCAGTAATGACTGTGTTTTTATAATAACTATCGTGAGACATATTAAATTAACTAAAATCGCGGGTTACTCACGTGAATATACTGAGAACGCGACGTCGCCGCGACCGCGCACGCTGCTCATAAGGAAGAACCCCTCTGTGGTTCGAAACTAGTAGAGTTTTTCTCAGTATATTCACGTGAGTAACCCGCGATTTTTCTTAATTTTGTAATGACTGTACTCATGAGGATTTCGACTTAGAAACGATTCTCGACTTAGGAAAATATTAAGCTTTTGAACGCAAGAGCAAAACACATGAACCTGCCCTCAACGCCAAGCCAGAAATTCCAATAGGAAATTGGGATTCCAATAGGAATAATTTAATTGTGACTGATAATTTAAGTGTGGGAGAGCTATGCTTCGGCTCAAATGGACCGGCTCGACACGGAGTGATACCACGGCCTCACAGAAAACCGACGTGAAACAATGCTTGCGTTGTGTTTCATCGTTTTAGTGAGGTTACCAGAGGCCCAATTACCCTCCCCTTCTCCAATCTCCCCAATTCCTGAATCCCCAACGATCCTTAAACTCCTAATCCGCAAAAGGCCGGATATGTACTTGCAACGCCTCTGGTGTTCCAGGTGTCCATGGGCGACGCCGATTGCTTACCATCAGGTGATCCGTCTGCTCGTTTACCGGCTTAAGCCATAAAAAAAATGGTTAAATATGTCCCTAAAACCCTACATTCACACCACAAATAAAACCTAAAAATTACATCTTCTTTTTCCAGGCCGTAGAACTAGAACTGGACACATACGCGGCCATAATAGCTGAGATGGGCCACGTGGCCACATCCATGGCCAACGGTGGACACCCGGAGGGCGAGGCCCTGCTGGCCAGACACGCGCTGCTGGCTGAGAGTCTCGCGAGACTGCAGAGACTGGCCGCGCAGAGACAGAAGGCTCTCGTTGAGAGTGTTTGCCGGTAAGATATTGTTTCGTTTTTGTATTTTTTGATGGACTTGGCAAGCAGAAATTTGAATTATTAAAGACTACTTTTACCCGCTGCTTCAAAAAGTAGCCTATGCGACATATACCAATACACACAGCGCCATCTATATCAATACTTTTGTTTTCCCTCGGGAATATCAATTTTTTCCAGGATAAAAAGTAACCTATTATTTAATCCAGACTTCTAACTTTACGTCTGCAAAAATTCAAAGCAATCGGTTTAGTAGTTACGGCGTGAAAGCGGAACAAACAAAATAACAAACAAACTCACTTTCCGATTTATAATATTAGTAAGGATACAAGTATCTGAAATACAGATACATGATACAAAATACGTATTTCGATCTTATATTTGATATACTTTTTTAAAATTCCATTCACTCTGGAGCATTTTTGGGATCACACTAAAAATCTGAAATAAGTTACATTTGCGGCATATACATGTAAAGAAAAAGGCTTTCTTAATTTTTTAATTGACAATTTTGTCAAATAGTCTTTGTTTTTTTAAAAACGTCAATATATGACTTTTGTGTTAAAGAATTTATAGAAGAATAAC